TGGAGATGATTTTGGATGAGACATAAATGTCTATGCCTAGCACATCTCCCTCTAATGCTGGGAAAGGAGACTAGTTATGGTACTGTGTGGGTAAGTGTGACAGCAGAAAACTGTCCATCTCCAAAAGCAAAATGACAAATCAAGTAAGCGGCAAGGGAATTAGAAATAAGAAAAACTATCAGCCGTAAAAGATTAATGGTGGAAATGGAAGGAAAGCATACGAATTTTGTTTTGAAGAAGCGAGTGGAGTGGCAAAAGGACACTGGAAAACTCACTGCCTTCAAGAGTTCATCACTGTGATGTCTAAATCATCGCCAGCCACTGCAGTTCAGAAAAGGTTAACACTTGGGCCTCTTTTCCCTGAATCTCTGTGGCTGTCATTCTAGCCTAAAGCCAAAGAACGAGGCTCACTGGCTTTTTTTTTTGTCAGCCCTCCCACATTCCGCTCTCTCCCGTCCAGTGCACTCTGCTCAGTAAGCAGCCCACCCGCAGCATCTTCCCTCTTTGATCCTGCCAGGGCCTTTTTCCCACCATGCCTGAAACAATTACCCAAGCAGTGGCTCAGCTCTGGATCATGATAAGGCAGTAGCCAGCCAGAAGCCTGGGCTGCCTTGAGCCTTGTGAGTGGATATGCCAGGCATCTGTCGAAACTCTCCAGTGAGGTCAAATTAGTGGTAGTGGGTGGGGGGGATTGGGGGAGGTCCTTTGCATGGGAGAATGCCACGGTTGCTGTGGGACACAGAGTTCTTTTGACTTGGAGTTTAATGAGCTTCCACTTCAACACGACCTACGTGTCCCGAAAGATAAGGGCAAGGATGGAAAGGCACAATTTACCTTGGCTGCTACTTGCTGCATCGGCTGCAGATTGGTGGCAAGACCTGGATTACAGTGTATCACCAAAAAACCAGGTCTCTCCTTTAGTAAAAGTGCTAGCCCTTTCCAGCAAGATACCTCCCCAGATGTCAACAGAGCAGGGTCCCTCAGAGAATCTCTGCTGGGCTTGGAAGAGGAAGAAGTTGTGATTGCGGGAGAAAGTTCTCTGTAAGCCTGAGGCACATTTCTGTATAGAGCTCAGAGCACAGTGAAGAGTATCATGGGCAAGAGCCTTAATGGGATTAGAAAAATGAAATGAATTTCAGGAAGAGCATCTAAATGAGGACTTTGTGCAGAGAAAGACACAAATACATGCAAGGGTCCTCGGACTATTAAACTAGTCATAATATTTCCCTGGCCATCTTCTTTTTAATTGAGATATATTTGACATATAACATTATATCAGTTTCAGGTAAACGACATAATAACTCGATATAGGTATTGACCTGACATTGCACTTAGTAGGCTAAGAAAATACTCCCTAGACCAACGACTTAATTTGGGAAAGTTTCCCTAATTCTCATTTGCTAAGTAGACTACAGAGGTTTCCCTTGGAAGAACTTCTAAGGAAAATTCATGGTACCATTTGTAAGCCATAACTAAATTCTCTGTTTATAATGCGACATAGCAAATGTCTGACATATCCCTCTGTCTTCAAAAATGATTTTATGTGAGTTATCTCCAACAGATAGACGACTACATTTTCTATTCATGAATACCCTTCTCGATTTGGAGATGTTCACTAACTTTGTGAACACTGAAGACTCCTTAGTTCCAGAGCTACCTTCCGTAATGTTCCATACTTAAAAATTTTACCCCAGATAGAAGGAGCTTAATGGGGGTTGAGTTGCAGCAGACGAGGAAAACTTCAATAACCTGTTCCTGTATTGGGGACTAAGGAAAAGGAATGTTTTCCTTTGAATATTATAAAGGAGATAAGGCAAACACCACCCAGGAGCAAACCCAGGTCTGATAGGCTGCTAGGACAGAAAAGAAAAGAAGAATTAGTGGATTTTTCCTGAGACACGGTTTCGAGCCCCTACGTGGGCTTGAGAGTCTGGGAGACATTACATGACCTCTGTCTTTCAACGCCATTGGGTAGAAGGCTTCCAGCCCGCTCTCTCCATCAAATGTCCCACCCCCTTTAGCAACAGCAACTCAAGTCTCCCAACAACTAGACTCTGAGCAGAGGTACGAGTGGGAGGAGGACTAAAAAATTAACAATAATTGATGAACTCATTTAAGATACCTGGACACTAGATGCCATGACTGGATCCTCGCCCAATTTTCAGAACTTCTTTTTTAAATTGCAAATCTATGTGTTTCGGGGGCAGGGCCCTGGAAAATGACTAAAATTCTCCGGAACGAATGCCCAGAAAAGCCTCAGAAGCCAGAAATATATTTCAGGCAACTGTTGCAGTGAGGGCTGCCCAGGGGGAACTACAAATTAACATCCTCTCCTTAGATGTATATTGTATATTATTTTCATGATTAACAACCAGTTACCACTGAGCCCTAGGACACAGCAAACCAAGAGAGTTGCAGAGTCTTTGTCCCCATTTATCTCCTACCGGATGGGCACCCTTCCTGGAGGAGCAGTAGGGTTGTGTCTACACTCCAATCTCAAATCACTCCGGACAAGCTTCTCATGGGCTTGTTGAAAAAGAGGGGCCCAATGGGTGAAGCATTTTTTTTTAAAATGAAAAGATGCAGAGGTTACTAAATTTGAAAAAGCGCCCACATTTTCTCTTTGGGAATGGAACCAAAGGATGATTCAGACAGGGAGACAGGCAGCAAGGTCTAGGGAATGAAGAGTCATGAGATTCCAGTTTTATTCCTGGCTTTACCCAAGACTTGCCATGTGACCACCAGCAAGCTACTTCTCAGCCAGTCTCTCAGTTTTCCCTTCTCTAAACGAACACAGTCTTATCCTTGCCCTGTAATTTACTCTGTGATTTCCTCACAAAAAGGGGAAGGAAAAACATAGATGAGGTGTAGCAAAAGGTTAAAGGGTGTGCTCCCTCGGTCTGGATACCAGACATATACAAGTATTCCTCATGTTCAATAAAGCAACTTAGCAGTATTTCTGATGTAGACAGCTGACGAAGCAGGACATCAGCTTGATTTTATGCAACCTGAAGTTTAACGATTAAGCAAATCAGGTCAAGGACATCATAGGTCAGGTGACATTACCTACTGGAAATGTATGAACCCACAAGCATTTTTTTTAAAGATTTATTTATTTGAGAGACAGCAAGCAGGAGGAGGGCCAGAGGGAGAGGGAGATGGAGAGAATCTCAAGCAGACTCCCCGCTGAGCGTGGAGCCCACTCAGGGCTCGATCTCACAACCCCTGAGGATCATGACCTGAGCCAAAATCAGGAGTCGGACGCTTAGCCGACTGAACCACCTAGGCGCCCCTCCAACAAGCATTTTAATCCCCACCCCAAAAAGCAAAGGATATCTGTAAGTCAAGAGATCTCTAGGAAATAGAACCATTCTTACTGAGGGAGAAGAAGCAGGCAATGAATGAAGGTAGGAAAGACAGCTCATACATACAAGAGCCACAATGCTGAGGGCTTGGTCACTAAACACTTTTTTTTTTTTTTTTTGGTCTCAAGTTTATAAAGCTTCCAATGTTACAGTGGAGGCTATTTCTTCTCTTAAAACAATTCAAATTTTAGAATAGCTAGTGAGATGTGAAATTTTCTTCACCAAGTTACACTTTGGCATCAATTTTTGCTGGAACACACCCATTCCCTGAAGTACAAAACATTGAAGAGTTAGTAGTACTTCAATACAGTGACAACTGGTATGCAAGATTAATTAATGACAGGCCAGGAGCAATATTCCCTCTATTTCACATGAACACAGTTCAGTGTTGCAATCTAGTAACATCTACATCAAGACTAATCAGATACATATTTATCATCAAGACTAATCAGATACATATTTATCATACACTTAGTAGTTTGGGGGCCCCTGTATTTGTCAAAGAAATACTCTATACTCACACACACAAAAAAGTGACCATGTCACCCCACCACGTACCTACATTCCACAACCCAGCCAGGAAGAGCCGGGGCACAGCTCCTGGCCTGCCACAAACTGTAAATTGTCCCTGGGTCCCATTCTGTTCAAGATTGCTTCTATTTGAGGGGCGCCTGGGTGGCTCAGTCGTTAAGCGTCTGCCGTCGGCTCAGGTCATGATCTCAGGGTCCTGGGATCGAGCCCTGCATCGGACTCCCTGCTTCTCCCTCTCCCACTCCCCCTGCTTGTGTTCCCTCTCTCGCTGTGTCTCTCTGTCAAATAAATAAATAGTCTTTAAAAAAAAAAAAAAAGACTGCTTCTATCTGAAAACCAATCTGCAAAATAAATCCTAGAATAAGGGGCACAGCCATCAAGATTCATTTATTTTACTTTAGTTTTTTACCTAAGGGGACCAACTTCCCACTGAGTATGGGGAGACAAGGACCATTTTGATGTTAAGATCCTTGGAGTACTTTAAAAATATCTGGAATCATTTTTTTTAGCCCTTCTAAAAAAAATGCTTTAAAGCCCTATAACGGCAAAAATTAAAAAGTATATATCTGTCACAGGCTTAAGGCAGGGCTAGGTCCACAGTAAGAACTTAGAGGGGGGTGGCTAGCTTATTACATGGACGAGCAAATGGAAATTGCTCCTTGACCTTGGTGATTTTCTATTCGGGAGCCAAAGGAAGGAACTTGCAGAGAAAGAGAAAAGAAATCAAAGTGCACTCACATCAGCGCAGCTATGACTAGAAGTAGCCGATGGCGGGGCTCAGTCACTCAAGTGTCCGACTCATGATTTTGGCTCGGGTAGTGAGATGGATCCCCGAGTCAGGCTGTGTGCCCCGTGGGGAGCCTGCTTGGGATTCTCTCTCTCCCTCTGCCCCTCCCTCCGCTTGTGTTCTCACTCTTGCGCTCTCAAATAAATAAATAAATCTTTAAAACAAAAAAAAAAGAAGTAGCAGATGGTACCTTCCTATTGGGGGATTGTGTAGCTGCCAGTTCACCAAACTGGGGAGTCCCCAGTGCCCTTGATCCCTTGATTTCCCAGCCCTTCCCCACCTCAGGCTCATATGATACCTAAGGAAACTACACATACCTCTTCTTCCAGCTTGACCACCTTGGCCTGGGCGTTGCTCAGGGCCTGGTCTCGGATTTCAATGTGTCGCCGTTGGTCCTCATTGGTAGAACGGGCAGTGGCCAGCTCGGCCTCCAGCTTCTCCTTCTCCCTCTGGCTTTCCTTATCTATCAAGACATGAATTATCATTACTGCCATTCTGGGGCTGGCTCAAAACCTTACCTGGGTAAAACTGACAATCATACCCATTATTAAACATTGTCTAACACATAGCCAAAAGAACCAGCACACCCAAGATCTGGACTCTCTCGCTGGCTCTGCCACCAACTTGCTATGTAAATTCAGAAAAGTCACTTAACAATGGTTGTTGTGCAGAAGCAACGTGAAAGTAGATGTAAAGAGTGTGATGAAAAGTATGATGCAAAGAATACACACACATCAGAAGAACAGGCAGGCTTGTCTCTTCAATTTTATTTCTTCAAGTGGTTTTGTATTCGCAAAAGAGCCACTGAGTCCCCCAGAGTTTTCCCTATTATCTTGTGACAGTATATTAAATCAGTCTAAAAATGGTATTTCACAGAATGTATAAAACTCCAAATCCCACTCTTTACTAACATTATTTTCCAACTGAAGTAAGTCCAGGATTGCATCGTAGGTACAGAAGAACAAGACACGTGTAATCATCCCCTCGGCCTTTCTAGGACCCTCCCCTTTTACCTAGGACAGGCCTCATGCCAGAAACTCAAAGGAGCAGTTTTGATTCTCATTTGGAGGTAGAGTGCCCTTCCTCTGGAGACCATGATACTTAAGTTTGTAAGAGAAACTTTAATAGGGCAGCCTCGCCTTCCTTCCCACTCTGGTGTTACTTACCTATTCAGCTGTACCTTGGAAAGAAATGAGCAGTTGTCAAATACTAAATGCCTACCAAGTATCATGCTAACTTAGTCCTCAGAAGGACTCCCCTGCAAGGAAAAGTGTTATTCTCTTCTCCATTTTGTATATGAAAAGACAGAGACCCAGAGGGCCTGAGTAACTTGTGCGCGGTCTCCCAATTAGTAAATGAGCACACAGCGGAGCCCATACTTAAGGCCAGGCTGTTCTAAACTCTTTCTAACCAGACTGCCTTCTCCTAGGGTTGTGTTGGTTTGGCCTCTCGAGGGTAAGTGGAACACATTCCCCAGGGAGGCTTTTCAAGTCCATTTTTCCCTTCTAGAACCATGCGGCAGCCTTTGCCCCTGCCGTTAATACACTTTTTATCTATTAAGTTCCCACATTTTATAAACCAGTAGCCGAGCTCCCAGGACCCCTGAAATACCGTTGCCACACAGGGAGGAAGGAGGATGAACTAGCAGATCCGGGGCAAGACTCCATACATTTTCTCTTTTGTTTTGTTTTGTCCTGGGGGGCCACCACCTTCTCCACCAGGGAACCCGCTTCCAGGGTCACCACGACACCCCAAGAGCAACAATTTACACCAGGTACTGAGGACACCGGAAAAACTGCATTCTTCCCTCTGAGACAGACTGACAAAGGAACAGGAGGCTCGGGGAAATGAGGAAGAAAAAAAGCCCCACTTCTAAGGCCAGTGCACAACAGAGCAACCCGGGGAGGGAGGGGGATATTGTAAGTGAAGATCAAACAAACTTGTAAAAGCTGACTGGAAGCTGCGTGGAATGACTTGAAAGAGGCATGTGGAGGCCCCGCGAAGATGGGGCCTGACAAGTCCCCACCGTGCGTGCGCTACTCCAGCTGGGAGCCACAGGGAGGCGGGGGCAGGGGGTAGGCAGCACCAATCACGGGCATCTGCAGAGTGAGGGTAGTTCGTCTGTTTCCCCCTATGGGCTCAACCCACTGCAGAGTTTTTATTGCTGGTTTTATTGTGGCAATTGGAAAGAATGAGGCATTGTCTAGCTGGGTGGAGTCTATTAGGGACCGATAAAGAAGAGGATTAGTTCATTGTCACGGTCCTCGGAGCATTTCCAGACAAAGGAAACACTATTATGAGGAAGATGTACTTCTGCCCTCCCCCACATCCTCCAACTCTGTGACCAGAGTCAGTAGCTCAGGCCATGGCAGTGAAGGAAATTCACTAAGGCCCGGGACTCTCAACTTTGGGCTCGAATAGGAGACTCCTTTGATCAATATGGAACCATATGATGTAATACGGGGTGTTTAACTAAGGGAGCCGCAGGTGCCGATTAGGTATTCCAAACGCTCATCATCGATGGCGCATGTTAATCCTGTCTCTACCACAGCCAGCCCAGGGAGCCTTCAACAATAAATCCCTCCAACATGCAGAGACCCCATGTTCACTAAAGGTCCCTTTCAGCTAGCTTGTGACAAAAGCAGGGATTTCAAGGGGCTTCTCTGGTCTAATACAGAAGGAGCCATGTTGATGTGGCTAAATGTGGCAAGCAGCCTTCTTGGCCTCGAAGGAAAAAAGAACAGGAATCCCAGCTTTATGCTTGAACAGGAAGAAGAACCCCTAGATGGCATTCGTTCTGTCCCGGCTGTTCTAGAAGGATATGCAGAACTGTGTGACCTTTTTACACATCTGGCTCCCAATCACACATTAATACCTGCTGCCAGAGCTTTCAAACTTACTTTTTGCAAAGAGCTGAGAGATGGTTTTTCTGGTATCTTCTGATCCCTCATATTCCTTCTCCGCAAGCTGCTTGTTGGCAGTCTCTAGACGCTCTGTGGAATTCAGAGACAACCAACAGGGCCTCATACACAAACTTCCAAGCACATGGCGTGTGCCCTCTAAGTACTGATCTTGGGCAAAATAAGCCTGCTTCTTCTTGTTACCCAAGAATAGGTGACACAGACATAGATTTACAAATGTGGAGCCCCAAACAACACTAAACCGTGGTTGGGAAGGAGGAGGTGAGCACTTAACACTTTCACCCCTCCCTGACAAAACCGAAGTGCCAAATTCTTAATTCCGATGAAGGAATCTATCCCTGAATATATGACATCTTTCATTTGCCAGGAAAAAGAGCATCAAAGTTATTATGAAGTCTTTAAAATCATGGGACATCAAAGCTAGAAGGGGACCATGGGCAGTGTCTAGTTCAGTTGTCTCATTTTATCAGTAAGACAATCTTAAGTCCAAAGACAGAAAATAATATCCCCAAGGTCATCAGTTTTGAAGGTGGTCATTTCTCCCCATCTTCAGTATTATCGTGTTAAGGTAAAAATAAAAGGAGGGAGTCCCAGAAACAATGGAGGACATCACTATTTCAAGCTTGCACAGCCCAAAGACAGACAGACCTCTGCAAAACCTCTCAAGGAGAAAGGCAGCATGGATTGTGGGGCAGGCCAGGCGGGTCCAGGAGTCCCGGCGGGCGGCGGGGGGGATACTGTCTGATTAACACCTCGGCTCATCCCACCCTGGTTAAGCAAGCTTGGGACCAAGTTCTGCTGCAGTCGCCAAAACCTAGCTCGGTCTATGCCCTGCAACTTACTGGCCATACTAGTGGGCTGGACAAGCCCTGAGAGCCTCAATGTATACTCCTTCCCTTCGCCATCTTGGCCAATGCTTCAGAAGTGACCCTCTCACCTCTCAGATCCCTGTTGAAGTCATGCATCCTTCGAATTTCACCCTCAAGCTTGTTTCTCATGGCTTTCTCCAGGGCCTCTCTTTTGGAGGATGATTTTACAAGGTTCTCATATGCCTCCGAGACACGCTGGATTTCTGTCTCCACCTGAAAAAAAAAGGAAAGATAGTGGGGATGGCAGGAGCTTAATGGGATAGATGGTCTGAAAGCATATATGCAAATCCTTAACGACAGCTTCTCCCAGGGCTTTACAGGTGGCTAGGAGGCCAGCATAACACAGTCAGATAAGAAGAGTTTCCCAGAAGGATTTCTTAAAAAAAAAAAAAAAAAGATTTATTTATTTGAGAGCGAGATCTGTAGTCCATGGGCAGGGTCGGGGGAGGGGCAGAGGGAGAGGGAGAATAAATCTCAAGGAGACCCTGCACTGAGCACGGAGCCCTACATGGGGCTCAATCCCAGAACCCTGAGATCACGACCTGAGCCGAAACCAAGAGTTGGACACTTAACTGACTGAGCCCTCCAGATGCCCCCCAGAAGGATTTCTAAAGTCAACATTCAGCTCAGGAACTAATTCACAGGGTCATGAGATTCCCTCACGTTAAAAACAAATACACTTTCTGCCTTCAGAGAAGACGATAGGAGAGAATAAATTTCATAAGTACAGTTATAAATGATTTTCATTTCTGCGTAAGAATTTTCTTAATTTTGGTGCGCCTGGGTGGCTCAGTCATTGGGCATCTGCCTTCGGCTCAGGTCATGATCCTAGAGTCCTGGGATCGAGCCCTGCATCAGGTTCCCTGCTCTGCGGGAGGCCTGCTTCTCCCTCTCCCACTCCCCTGCCTGTGTTCCCTCTCTTGCTGTGTCTCTCTCTCTGTCAAATGGATAAATAAAATCTTTTTTTAAAAAAAGAATTTTCTTAATTTTGAAAATACTACTGACACTATATAGTATGTAGATAACATTATTTCCGAGTGTCCAAAGGGCTTTCGCGTGTTTATTTCTATGTGCCCTGCTATCCACCTTTACAAGGACACCTTCTCCCCTGTTGTAGCAGAGGGAAAAGTGAAATTGACCTTTCTGAGATCAAGTCAGTGGCAGAGTCGAATCCTAAAAACGCTTAAGCCTCAGCCCTTATGGGGTAGTTCAATTCACTCTAACAAACCTTCACCATGGGCCAAATAGTTACAGAGCTCTTTAAAATGTCCACAATAGCCAAACTATGGAAAGAGCCTAGATGTCCATCAACAGATGAATGGATAAAGAAGATGTGGTAGATATATGTACGATGGAATATTATGCAGTCATCAAGAAATGAAATCTGGCCATTTGCACGGATGTAGATGGAACTAGAGGGTATTATGCTAAGCGAAATAAGTCAATCAGAGAAAGACAAGTATCCTATGATCTCACTGATATGAGGAATTAGAGAAGTAAGACAGAGGATCATAGAGGAAGGGAGGGAAAAATGAAACAAGACGAAACCAGAGAGGGAGACAAACCATAAGAGACTTAATCTCAGGAAACAAACTGAGGGTTGCTGGAGTAGAGGCGGGTGGGAGGGATGGGGTGGCTGGGGGATGGACATTGGGGAGGGTAAGTACTATCGTGAGTGCTGTGAACTGTGTAAGACTGATGAATCACAGACCTGTACCCCTGAAACAGATAATACATTATACGTTCATAAAAGAATTTTAAAAAAAGATAATCAGGAAAAAAAAATGAAAGAAAATAAAAGTAAAAAATAAAATACCCGTGGGGTGTGTAGGTATGAATGAGGACATTATTTCCCTTCAAGGAGCTTTCGATGTAATCAAATAAAAGAATAAAGAGAAGGATGCCTTACTCAGAGCAGTAGAAGTAAGTGCTACAAAAGTGCAGGGGAGGAAAAGATTATTCCTGGTTGGGGTGAAGGGAGAGGAGACCACTTTCGGGCAGGCGGTGGCATTTCCAGTCAGATCCTAAAAGCTAGGTCAGATTTCAATGAGCAGAGGTGAGGGGAAGGGTGTTCTATTCTGAGTGAGTGAATGCATTCCCAGAATGACCCGTAGTCTCATTTGGCTGGACACTGTGGGGTACACAGAGGGAAGCTGGTGAGATCTGGCTGTAAAGATAGACTGGAGTCAGATCATAAAAGGGCTTTCATGCCAGGTATTTGGACTTTATCCCGTAGTCAGTGGGAAACCAGTACAGATTTTTTTTTTAAAGATTCTATTTATTTATTTGAGAGAGAGAATGAGATAGAGAGAGAGCACGAGAGGGGAGAGGGTCAGAGGGAGAAGCAGACTCCCCGCCGAGCAGGGAGCCCGATGCGGGGCTCGATCCCGGGACTCCAGGATCATGACCTGAGCCGAAGGCAGTCGCTTAACCAACTGAGCCACCCAGGTGCCCACCAGTACAGATTTTTGAACAGAAATTCATGATCGGAGTTATGTTTTATGACACCACTGCAAATCTTGTAAAATGGGGGAAAAAAAGAAACCATACACACAAAACCTCAAAGAGAAAGGGTCTTGCCTCAAATCAGCGCAAATCGGGAAGAAACTAAGAAATTAGACTCCAGAGTCTTTCTGTAACCAGTAGAGCTTCACTGCACATGAAATAACCACAGAGATATTTGCATATAATTTGTATAAGATAAATAAACCCCGTGGCCTATGAGGCAATTTGCAAATTAAATTTGACTCCTGCAACCCCATTTTGCATTCCTTCTCAGTTTCCCACTATCCTCCCTAACAAAGCTCAGGGTATTTTATGGGGAGAAATATCAGGCCCCCAGTGGGATACTGGGGGAAAGGTGGGGTTACCAAACAACTCAGATTCCACTTGCCCCGGCTCCAAAATTATGCCCGAGGCAGGACTGCCTGCAAACAAATGAGGCTTACACCACAGAAAAGAGCAGGCTCCAGAATGTTTTTCTCCTTGCAGATGGCACCAAGATAGCAGCACAGAAGGTGAAAACTGGTGGTGAATGGCATTTAGAGACAAGATCTGCAAGGCCTGGGCCTGATCAAGCTTTTGCACGAAATTCAAGTGCGGGGTACAGAAAACAAACATTTCCATTTGAAAGAGCAGGCTTGGTCTTAGTCTGCACTGGGCAGCCTTTAGAGGGCAAGGCTTCCCAGTTCCCCACAGAATGCCACACCTGGAAGGCAGGCCGTTTACCCACGTTGTTCAGAGTACTATTTCGAGATCTGGTACCAATCTTTCTCCCCCCTCCCCCACCCTGCCCCGCGTCGATACTCCAAACGGGCGAGTTTTACATCCCTCAACAGGACCTTCCAGGAAAAGAAGTCACAGAAGGGCAGACACACTGGTTTGGTCGGGGATGGTGGGGGCAAGGAAGAGGGAGGTGGTGGTGGGTTTCTGTCTCATTTATTCCCCTCATGAGCCTCGGGCCTATGTATTTTTTTCTAGCACCAGCTGATACCTACCATACTCTTCCCACTTTCCTTTTCCTTTCCTACCTCACTTAGGCCTCTAATCCACTGCAGCCTCGGGTCAGCCTTCACTTCCCCCAGCACTCAATTACACCTGGTTGAGGCATCTTGCCCCTCGCTGGGGAACAAGCAAACAACAATGCCACAAATCCTATTCGGCTCCTCTTCCCCGTCACCCACCTTCCGGATCACTGCATCAAAGGTGGGGCCGGGGCCACCCTGAATAGAGAGTTTGGGGAGGGGTGTCAACAGTTAAACCCAATCAGCCAAACCGGGCCAGTCTGCTTTTAGTGCGTGAATAGGATTAATTTGTTGCGCCGATATGATCTGGGGGGGTGGGGGTTGGCGTATAGTTAAATGAGAGGAGGCAGACAGTGGAAAATTGGGGGCAAAGCCAGGGAGAAACAGTTCTCACTGAACCCTAACAAACCCCACCCAGATTTTGGGACCCTGTGTGTGTGTGGGGGGGTGTTTCTGTTACATAAGAATACTCGGCTGACAGTAAGCCCTCCTCTACTTTAGGACCCAGATCTGGTGTTTACAAATTCTCAGTTTCATTCAGGCCCCTGAAATTTCCACTCCTGAGTGTCTCCTAAGGGCAGAGTTGCTGAACAAAACTGGGCAATGTCCCCTCCCTCCCACACCTTCACCCTCACCTCCCCAAACAGTTCACATTGTCGGGAGATCAAACCACATGAGCTCCACAATGACAAAAGCTGCAAAGAAGCTGCCAAAGGTATCACCCTATTCACCGACAGCCACTGGAAGGCAAGAGCTAAGGTTCTTAGCTTAGGGCACTCGAGAGCTAAAGTCCCAGCTGGAGGAGACAGGAGGGGCCCAGGGAAGAATGTGAACTCTATGGGACATACACTGCTTTTTCTACTTCCTCAGCCTAGGACTGTCACCTGTCACCCAGCTGTGGTGCTAAGCCCCTCCTGCCGCCCCCCCCCCACCACACACACACCAGAGAAAGCCCGCAGATGTTGAATGTGAGCTGCAGGGAAAAGCCAAAGCAAAGAGGAGGCAAAGGACGAGGTGTTGAAAAAGAGTTCCTATGAGAACTCCCACTTGGAAAAGTGTTCTAAGCCCCTTCCAGAACGAGGCAGGGCATGATCTAACTTCAGTGGTGAGATGTTTGTGGGAGTTTATGGTTTTACATTTAAGATCCAAATCCAGTTATTTGGGAAAATATAACCAAGACACAAGGTCTTTAGGCTGGCAGGACCTTCACCTATACAGGCATTGCCAGTGTTCTTGACCTTCTGAGGAAGTTTCTCGGCCCTCCAGAATTCGAAAACAATCCATTCAGTTTTCATTAGGGCTACGGTAGCTGGGAAAACTACGAATATGTTCTTTTCTCCCCACATGAGTGTAAAATGCGACTCCTCCTAGAAAGACAGGCAGAGGGCTTTTTGCAAAGTTGGGTCCATATCTAACCTTCGGATACGAGAATCTAGAAGGCCCGCGCCTAACACACGAGGAGATCGAAGGAAGACTCGGCTACCCTGAAACGGAGGCCTCACCTTCTGCAGTCTCGCCACCTTCTCGTAGCATCCTTCCAGTTCCTGTCGCAAGTTCCGGTTCTCATCCGACAGGATCTCAACCATCTGCTGGGCTCTGGAAACAATGGCAAACGGGTCCGCTGGCATTGGCTGATAGGAGGCGGAGGACTGCTGAGCCCGGGGCATAGCTGGATAGGCTTCACCCGGCTGGGGCTGCTGGTGGTGGTGGTGGTGGTGCGGCTGCGGCGGGCTCAGGCCGGGCTGGGGCGGCCGGTAATGATCGCTCTGGTGAGCCGGGGTCGGGAGGAAATGCTGCTGTGGCCTAGGCAGGTGAGCTGAGTGGTCTCCTTGGCTTGGCACCAAGGGGTGTTGGGCAGGAGACAATCTCGTGGCTGGCGGAGACTGCAGCAAGGACAAGGAACCCCCAGACGTGAGGGAAGAAGTAGGGCTGTGAGGCCGTGAGCTCCGGGCCGACAGTGGCAATGAGATGTCCTGCGCCGGCCTGGAAAACATGGTTTACACGCTCAGGTTAAGCTTTCACCCACGGCACTGGGGCACAAGGGTGCGACGAAGTGAGATGAGGGGGCTTCCGGTGCCCCCTCCCTCAAGGAGACCCGCAAACTGAGCAGCAGGCAGGGTTAGACTCAGAAATCTCGGCACAGAGCTCCACAGCCCTTTCCAGGCCTGACCTGCGAGTGCCTGACAGAGGTGTGATCCCTTGGAGGACGGAACCACGTGACCTCCAGGGTCACTTGGTGAAAATCTAAGTGACGCGCACCTGTGCTCTTGTTGCTCAAATGTAAGCATTTTAAGTGAGTCTTCCAGAAGGTAATTTTCATGTCATTATTTTAAACGAAACCTTCTCTGACATTCTCTATGTGGTCAGCACATGTAAAGAGTCAAATTCAGAAAATGTGTTCCACTTGCCCACCATGAAATGGCAAACTGTAGTCAAAATCAGTCCTCTTCTCGCTATTGGCAGCTCTCTTTCTTAATTCCTATATTCACAAAACATTACTGAAGGATGTGTAGATCCTTATTATGCTAGAGACACCAAAGCATTATTGTTGATTATAGTTAATAACTGAGTGAGGCCCATTAGCAGCGATGATACCAAGGTTTGGAGGGGATGACGGGCAACACTGTCATACTATTTTTGATGAACTGAACCACAAAATGTAAGGAATGGAAAAGCCTTCAAGAAATAATTTAATCCACTCTGTCACTGGACAGACGGGGAAACTGAAGTCCAAGAGAAAGGAAGCAATCTGTCAGATACCACAGAATGACTTATTGGTAGTGCCAGGGTAGAACCCCTATGTCCAATTTCCCTTTTTCTGCTCCTTCCACTACCATAATACATTGACTTCCACACAATGATGTTCAGATCCCAGATCGATTTCTTATAGAAAGTGCCACAAAGAGAACTTCCGTACATGGTTTAATGTGGCTCTCCCATTTTTGTACCTACTACCGGACTGTTTGCCATTAAGGGAAATAAGGACAGTATGTAAATGGATCACTTCCACCATCAGCACTACCAGCAAGAATATCTGTAAGTATACACTGAAGACAAAAAGCCTGTTCATCCCCCAGCCCATGCCCAACTAACCTCATATACCCCCACATCCTGTGGATGCTTGTCCTACAGTTGATATTTCCCCATTCAGGGAAGACAGATGGCTAAGAGCATGGGATTTGGATCCCAACAGAATCTGGAGACCTTTTCTGCTGCCGACTGGCTGTGTAACCTTGCTCATGGTACTTAATCTGCATGAGCCTGTTTTGTTCCTGAGGTCACAAATGAATTACAAAAAGACTGGACTCTTCTCGTTTTTGAGCTGGACAGGAATTACAAAGAGTCTCTTATCTACCTCCCAGTGAGATAGGTTGACCCTGTTAGGGATTTTACTTATGGGATATCCATTTAATCTTTGCACTAAATTGCATAAAATTCATGGTGGAACTGGGACAAATCACTAGAAGCAATTAACTTTTAACTCGCATTCCAGATGCTAAAGCACATCCCTCCCACATACATTTCAGTTATCATTATTGTTCACGTATCTATCCCTACAAGAGATCCTCGCTGTAAGGGCTTTTTTATGGCTGCAAAGTCATTCCAAACACTTGCTAATGGATACCCAATAACCCAGATGCTTGCCAGAGCCCTCAAACCTGCTCAAGCCCTGGGTTCTGTATCTCAGCCCCATCGATGCCTCTGTTGTACTGACGTTCTTCCAATTCCATACATACGGCACTATCAGTAATTGCTGAATACTGAAGAGGGAATGCGACCTATTGGTGGACAGAAGAATTTACACGGTTCCCCTTATTATACCTGGAAAGTTGCTACCGTATATTATCTTTCTTTGGAAGTGCTCAAAACACTCATCCAATCAAAAGCCTGGGAGCTATTTATAAATTTATTTGGGAAAGAGTCTTTCCCCATTTTCCGCACCGTGGATCTTCGGGGTCCTTAGGGGTAAAACGGGCTCTGTGCGCTCCCTCCTCTTTGAGTAAGAGCTATTATAATTTTTATATATCCCTAGAGTTAAAATATTATGTACTGGGATTTGTTAGGGCTTTTGGATCTCCTGGGCAGAAGAGAGGGGCTTAAATTTCATGTTCTCCAATCCAGCTCTCGTAATTTAAGGGAAAAGTGACCAAATTAATCTTCATCCTTGTTGCCAGGATTTGGAAACCCCGGGCCTGGGAGGCATTCTCTTTTAAAGACCGAATGCCCAGTTCTGAAGTGGGCTTCCTCCCCCCAGCTCCTCTGGGCCCCATCGGCAGTCCAGGCCTCTCTCTCAAACAGACCAGCCACTGGCCTCCCTCCTGCCTGGAGGCTGAAAGGCCCCTCCATGCCCTGGACAGTACATGGCCTCCCAGGGGCCTCGGGAAGGAGGAGACCACAAGGTCTCCAGAAAGAGGTCTCTGGAGCCAGATAAGTCCAGGACAGCAATAGCTCTGGCCTTGACTCTGAGCTCTACGTAGAAATAAACGGAGACAAGGTAGCTGCCCCCCTCGGGCTCCCCAGGCTGGAAAAGGAAGCAGATTTCAGTGCACCATGATGTTGGGAAAACCAAGGCAGTCCGTCCCTGGCAGGTTTGCAAACATGAAGCAAGGCTTGGGCAGTCACAAAAGGAGAGAAAGCCCTCCAGCCAACGAACTCCATCTGGGCTCCAGCATCCACCCACCACAAAAAAAAAGCAGGACTGTATTAACACTCGGGTGAAGTTCCCCCTGAGAGAAGGGGACCGAGGCATGACAGGGATGGGGAAGAGGCTGGGGGAGGGGGGGGATGTCAGAGGAAGCAAAAGTACATTGAGGATGAAATAACAAGAGTAATAGTAAGGACTGTAATAATACAGGTGGCAGCTGGGCCAGTGGCACACTCCCCAAGTGCTTCTAAGGCACAGCAGTGTGAATGGCTTCCCGCTGACATATTAACCAGGAACAACAAGTTGCCGGCAGACAATAGAATCACATGATCCCGTGGAAGCCCTGACCTGCCTCCCTACCCCTTCCCTCCCTTCATCCAGCTCCCTCCCAAGACAACTTGGGCCCCTGGGGCTCCGTGGAAAAGGGGAGGACGAGGCATACACACAGGGCAGAGACCAATGACCAAAATCAGCATCCTTCCCCAAAGCCGGGGGGGGGGGGGGGTACTCCTTCCCAAAGACGGCTTGTGATGACACAAAGGGAAAGCAAAAGCCTGTCCATGGAGCTGACACAGCACCTTCCACTCTGCCACCTCACTGGGAGCCCCCGCCCTCCTCAGTCACATACACACACACACACACACACACACACACACACACGCCTCCTCCCCACACACCCACACACCACACACTCCTGGCCCACACGTGTGCAAACCCACACATGCACACTCTCACCAGAGCAGGTGCCACCAACAGCCTGGAACCCAATTTATTCTCCCCACAGAAACTGCCTTTCCCAGGCTCTGTGACGGTGGATCTGTGAATCCTGGAGGGGCCTGCAGATTCTCGATTGTTTCTCTTGCACAACCAGCTCTGCTCTGAACTACAGCGTTAGGTCACACTTAGATTCCACTAAACAAGGATTTCAAGAAACCTCAGATCTGGGCATGATTTCAACAATTGAAAGGAGGTGGCTGCTTCACAAACAGAAAGGTTTTCATTTTCAAAAAGCACTTGATAAATGTGTAAACCCCAGATGCAGAAAAGGCTCAGCGCTTAGAAAGACAAAGATTCAGAAATTTTTTAATTCTTCAGATGGCTTGGCCTTGTTTCCCATCTGGAGTTCTGGGCATTCGGGATATTTATTTTTCAAGTGGGGAGGAGGGCACAGGGAAGATGAAGTAATAAAAAAAAATTGTTTATAACATTTTGTTAATTTGAACAGCCAATCTCTAGCCTTTCACTGCACCTCTAAAAGCAAACGAAGGTTTTCTGAACAGCAATTTGTTCAAAGACCTTGCTGTTCATTCTTGATCTGTAATTTATGGATTAAGAACTAAGAATTTTGTCATCTAATTGGTTGCTAGCAGCAGTTACTTGGAAAGGTACTCACAAACTGTCTAGCAAGTTGGTTCAAGGAAATAAAAGAGGAAAAATGTGTCACCACCTAAAAGCAGTCCATTTCTGGAAAGCGGTTCAACTACCTCCCCCTGCCAGTAATTTGTCAACAGGTGCCACTCCCTCACCCCAGGCCCTGAAGAAATTTTATTGCCAGAATTTGTCTAATGCAGACCCAAACTTCACACAGACCATCTTCCGATGAGGACCGTTTTAGGTTTGATTATTCACCGAGCATATCAAGTACCCTGTTCCTCTCCCATAGAGGGGAAGAAAAAAAAAAAAACCTATAGAGCTAACCTGTGTATTAAAATTCTGCTCAAGAGAGGGGGATCAGCATGGGCTCTACTGCTTCTGGGGATAGGGAGAGAGCTCCACAGATAACGTAGGAGGAAAGAGAAACTACAAGTATCTTCCTGTAAAATATATGCAGCTAAATTTCTCTGGTGGCTTAATCAGTATGGGAAGAAAAAAAAAAATCCCTCTTTGGGCTCCTTATTATTTATTTAGGCAGATCAAAGGGCTTTTCCATCTAGCTTCAAACACTGTGGGAGTCATTTCAGATCACAAACAATACTGGTGAATGAGTTCTGAAAATAGCTTTCCTGGGAAGGCGGGCCTTGTGCTAAGCGGGGCTTTGGATTCTGCTCCACACCCCAGCCAACATGCTCCCCTCCCACAAAGCAACAGACGTCAACCCATCCACATAAGGGACAGAGTCCCACAGACTCTTCCATGCTGATGGCAAGCGCAAAACAAAAATCCCCAGCTTCATTGATATTTTGCTGGCTTGGATGGGTTTCCACTAAGCTAAGCAGTCCGACTGACCAACCCCTCCCTGGGTCTTCCGTTTCATTGGGCAGATGGGAATCAGGTTCTTGCTCATTTAAACCGGAAGGGCCCTGTCCATTACCCCATATCCTGTTCTAAGGCACTTATCAGAACTTAGGCTCCTGCCCTTTGAGAGCTGCACAGAAGAGGTTGAAAAAGGTTAGGAAATCAACTTGGTTAAGGGGAAAAAAAATCCTAAACTGGCCAAGTTACGGGTGGAGCTCAAAGTGAATTGCTTCTGGCTATAAAACAGGACCTGGAGGGGAGGGGAAACCAACGAAATACCAGGAAATGCCAGGTGCATTCTCTTACCTTCACCCTACTCCACCCCCTGACTGCCTTCTCTCCTGAGTCACCCAATGAACTTCAAGCCAAGCGGTTCTTTCCCGAATAAGTGAGAAGGAGACAGGAGGTGAAGAGTTAGACATCGAAGAGATCACAGGCCTAATCTGGGAAAAGGACCGCCCCCCCCCCCCAGGTCCAGGGACTTCAAACCTCACGGTCACCCATAATTACCCATGGTAACAGGGCAGGAGTGCCACACAAAACTGCCATCGTTGTTGGCCATGGTCAAAACCTTCCCCTCTGCCCCATATGCTGAACTCCCACCGATCAGAGACATGGCCCCAACAGTAACAATAGGAACAACAAAGAGAATCATGGCATCATAAGGTCCGGTTGATATAGCAATGGGACAACGGGCCTCTGAATAATGCAAAAGTACATTTAGGAGTAATCGGACAATATGAAATAGTCCTCCTGAACCAATGACACGTGGTAAAGGAGTCGTGGGGCTATGATTCTTTCTGCATTTTAGCATCTGACCAAAAGTTCTATGTGACATGACATGAGTTTAACTTAGATGGTTCAAAAACGTGACAGGCAACTAACAAACACTCTGCAGAAGAAAGATGAAGCAGTGCAGAGTTCATGAACTGCCAGGACATCCAAGGCAAGTGACATTCTGAACCTGCACATATTCCCCACCCCCCACAGTAATATCTAGGTGTCTAATTTTTAGTGTCCGAAAGAATCATAGGAATTCTGCAGGAAGATTCGTTCCTAAAAAAGTGATGAGAGTTCTGTGGAAGGGAATAATTGAAAGTGACAGGCTACTCCAGATTAAAGTCCAGGACAACTTGCTTCTGCTCCTCCAGGAAGGGCTTAATCACTCACAAGAAGAGGCACACTGACCCTTCCTTCACAATCCCAGGAGACAGGACAGCGTGTAGCTGTAGAAATCAAGACTTGCGTTCCTGTTCATCCACTAGGCATTTGGGGCCATGCTCAACCTATAAAGTCAAGGGAATATTAATACAGCACTAATTATGGCTGAAGAGGCTAGAAATTCAGGTTGGCAGGAAATTTACTAAGCCAGGGGCCAGCCATGCATTGCAGAGTTTGTTATACCAAACACCTGCCCATTCCTTCCCTTCAGAGTCCCAACACACAGCAGAAGCTGGTTGGGGATGAGGCCAGGAAATGACAGAAAGGGAACTCTCTTACCTGGCTGCTCCATACTCAGGGGGATGCTGATACCTCATCAGTTGCCCCTCTGTTCTCCCTGGCTGGTTCAGACGATGCTCACTATAGAAGTGCCCTGGCTCTTGGGGCTTGCACACTACAGACTGGGGTGGCATGCCCTTGAAGGGATACTCTGGTGGGGGGCCTCGGTGTTCCATGCCCTTCAGGCTATGCTGGCTGGGAGGTGGCCCCTGGACCTTGTAGAATTCACTGGAACTTGTGGGAGTCTTGTAGAGGTCACTGGGTTGTGGTGGGGAGAGGGGAGCGCTGGTGACAGGTGGATGGGCCTTAACTCCACTGGTGGCCAGTGACATCTGCATTAGTCGTTCACTTAAGGAGCGGACATGTCCTTGCTTAAGGTCTCTGAGTCCTTCATCCTGGTGCATCTTCCCAGGATTGAGCCGCTGCACCGATGGGCGTCCCTCGGTCCTCATCTTCTGGTTGGTGACTCCAGTGACATAGAAGGCAGCTCCAACACTGGCATGCTGTTGGCCCCGAAAGTACTGGGACTGGACCTTGGCTTCTTCATAGGTTGGGAGTTCTTCATTATTCTGCATTCTAGGGGAGAGCTGCTTCTCCATGATGATGTTTTCTGCCTGGATTTCCTGCCCCTGGGGTTCTTGTCGAGCAGCATGAGCCACAAGCTGTTGGTGGTGGTCTTGGGGACTCAACACATCATTCTGAGGGCCTGGGTTCCCACTGCTACTGGGGAAAGGAGGGCCATTCCCTGTGGCTTGCTGGTGTATGGCAAGCAGGTTGCGATTCTCATTAGGATTGCCATAGCGAAGCTGCTCTTGTAGCAGACGCTGCAACACTGTGGTTCCTCCACTTGGCTGTTCTTCAGAATTTCTCATCTCTATTGCTGGTGGTGCCTTGTGAAGAGAGAGAGAAATTGGGCACCTGGGCTGCCCTTGACCTGGGAAGGGGAAACAGGAAGCTTAACACCCAGTTGATGGATAAATCATTCCTCTAAAGGGGAAGAAAATGGGTATTTGGGGGTGAGGATTCCACTCCAGAGACAAAGGAGAGAATTGAATCTAGAATTAATAGGTTAATTGTTGGTGACTCCTGGCTCTAGCATTGATATGATGAGGAACTTGGGGGCATAAGAGCTCACTGCTTCCTCTTTCGCTTTTGGCATGGGTTAAATATCCAATCTTGACTTAACTTCTAAGAGAACTGGGGAGACCTGGAACAGTCAGGTAGGATGACCAGAGGGGGCAATTCTCCTAGGTCCTTACTCAGAAGGTTCATCTCTCTGTATTTTATTTAAATGAAAAATCCAACTCTTATGGTCGTGACACTGGGGGCAGGCCACTAGGGAGAATTTACCCCACAGGCAGGATCTGTAAAGCAGGTCATCGTGTGAAGGGAGCTACAAAAAGCCAAATAATAACTAAAATAAATAAGAGGTGAAGAGAGCTTGGCTTGCACTGAGTAGAAATGATCCCCGCTTGACGCAAATCTTTTTTTCTGATCTCATAAAACTCTAAAACATAGCTTTTTTTTTAAAAAAAAATCCTTTTTGTATTGTCCATTTTGGATTCTCCTTGGCTTAATAAGAGAAGGGCTTGAGATAACTGCTATTGACAAAGTTTCTCTTTCAGCCATCCAGGAATAGTCACTGAGATTTTTTTTTTTTTTTTTTTTTGCTGTTGTTGTTGGCTAGGAGGAGCTTAAATGGGAAGCCCTCTTTCATTTGAAGTGTGCATCTGACAGCATTTAGAAATTGAAAAAGAAAAAAGGTCATCCTTCTAGAAAGGGTACGAATACCGTATCCCTCCCCCTCCACCACCACCACCACTAATTCTTCTTAAGGAAGAAATACGGGTTGAGCGAAACAGGTATTGGTAGTAAGACACCTCAAGATTCAAATTCTAATCATGATAATGGATTTATAGGGTAACCTAAGCAACTGATTCCTCTTTTCTTGTCTTCTGTTTTCCCACCCGAGAAACTAGTAGTAGGTGACATCTCTATTTCTCTCTCTCTCTCTCTGCAGGGTATAGGACACACAAATTCATCAGAGGCTCATAAACTCTTTGGACAGAATCTATCATGTGAAGTACTGCAATTCAATACTCATGTTCAGTAGTGAAAGTTTTACTCTAAGGATCTTAAGTGGTGTTGGAGCATGGGCATGATGTCACAGAAAAAGTCACAGTAAAGGTCAACCTAACCGGCCTCGGGTTCTTAGATGAGAACTCTGTAATCCTGGCTCCCAGGCTCTGATTTCTATGATATCAAACAGCCTCCAATCTCTCTGGAAACATGATCCCTTTCCTTTAGTCATGCAGGGAATGGCCAGAAGATGTGTATGGTAGATAGAAAATGGTCATCTTCTCTTCTTTTTTGCGCTTCTTGCATGATTACTGCTACCTGGTTTCCCATTGTTCTAAGGAGCAGTTTGACCCCACAGTTAACCTTCCAAAGGCCCCTTTTAAATCCCTTTCATCATATTCTCTGGGGAAAGGGTGCACCAAAGGGCCGAGCAGCCTGCCCTTTCCCTCCCTCCCTCCCAGTGACCATCTGGGACTCCTGGATTTAAACTGTCAGACTGGGATTTTCTGATAGGCTGACAAACATAACATGTAAATCTCTTTTGGTGCCTTTAAACTGGGAAGATGACTACCAAGCTACCTTTCCTCTCTCAGAAAATGGAAACGGGAGCATGTATGGTTAAACAAAATCACTTGCAAACCCATCCTACAAGGCAGGGAAACCCAGACATTGAGCGGGCCCGGACCCTGAAAGAACACCACCCCCTCCCAGTCCACACCCGCCCCACCCTGCACACACACACACATGCTCACACACACACACACAGGCGTGCACGTGTGTGTGTGCACACGCGTGCACACACACACACACACACAGATGGTGCATACCTATTTCTGCTTTCTTTTAGGCTTAAAGCCTTGATCAGGATAGGGAATTCTTGCTTATGAGCAGCTCCAGAAACCGCAACGGCAGATTCCCTCTCCCCTAACACTCAGGTTCAGGGTAAGCGCCGCCAAGAGTCCAACCACTGGTCACTCTGAAATGTTCAGGAGGGGGAGGGAGGAAGAAATAAAAACGTCGTTTCTATTTTGCCACCAATGGCCAAAAGTTCACCAAACCAGTCCTTCCAAGGGAATGACTTCTCCTCCCTTATGTTTGCCTTTTATATGAGTGGCAGAATCCATTTCCATTAGGACAAAAAGAAACCTCACTACCAGCAGCTGTGTTCAGGAGGTCAGCCAGTTTCCAGAGGATGGAAATGTTCAGGTCTGGGACTGGAAAAGATTGCTCTGTTCTAGCCTCATGGCCCCCAAAAGCTGCTGCTTCCACTCTGAGTTGGAATGGTGGCTGAGGACAAAAGACAGACCCAACGTCACCTGTAGGGTGTGACCTTGAAACTGCTATCAGCAGGGGGGCACATGAGTGAGGCTCATGGCCCCACATCCCAGGAGGGAAGGCCGTCATCAGAAGGCAGGTTTTTGATTTCGAAAAAGGGGGGGGGATACTCTGTGAAGCTCCCAATTTAATTGCCACAGCCTCAGATGGGCAGAGGAAAACCAAAACTTCTTTTCCACCAAATCATTAAGTACTTATTGCATGCTGGCTATTCCACACGTTCGCCAGCCTCGTGCGAGACATAAGGAAGGATACAAAAGACACACATCTGGTTCCTGCCCTCACAGAGCTTACAATCTGATTGCCGGCCCATCCATTCTTACTGGAGTAGCAAAGGTGATCACTCTTCTCAACACACAGCAGCAACTCTTCTCCAAGGACAAGATGCCTCCCTCCACTTGCTTTCTCAGCACTTCCATGGCCCCGGCATCTCCCCAGAAGTAAACTCCTAGGCTCACATTATAAGGGCTAGATGCAAATGCACACCACGTATGGATCTGCAATCGTCCTCACTTCTAATTACTGCGCTGGCCCTCTGATAAGCCCTGCAGGGCCAACCAAAATGATTATGAAACTGAGGAGTTTGTGTTTAGGTGAGATGCACATGATCCACATTCCTATTTTCTGTCCCAGCCTAGCCATGACTCACTCATGTCACTTAAAAGAAAGGCTTTAATCCACATCAGAGATGCCATTTGAAGAGCAAGGCAATGCAAAGGAAGCGCACAGCGTCTCTGTATTTTGGGAGCCTGTCCAAAACATCCAAGTTAAAAAAAAAATCCACAAAACCACACAGTGATTAATTTAACATTATTTCCTTGCAATGTTGCCAAAAATAAAGTGAAGAGATACAGAGTGAGCAAACACGGAAATTTGTCTTTCAATCTTGTTTGGGCCCAACATATAATCACAATCAAAAGCAAAATCATCTCCAGTCTGCAAGGTAATTATTTTAGGGGGTCTTCCTTAATTTCAAAGCAGAGGAACAACTTCTAGTTGGAATCAAAGCTGAACTATTAACAGAGTGTGGTAAATAACCACCGTGCTTCTATTGTGAGATTCTGAACAAAACAGTTGTCTTTTTTTTTTTTTCAACCAAAACATGCAGAAAACAGCCTGAGGCCTTTAAACTTGAGCCCCTGGCAAGAAAGCACCATACAATTATTTTCCAGGACGATTTCGATTCTTCATGCCGATTTTGACTGGCTTGCTCCTCATACCTAGCTTCTCACAAAGAAAACTTTCCTTGTCCAAAATCTTACTCTCTTCCCTTAATTTTGTCCCCACTCGTCCATATCCTTTTCAAAACCCAAATCACTTTATGTCAACCGGACACAGATTGTCCCTCCCCACCACCCCGCCCCCTGGCCTTTTTTGTTTCTGTCTAAAAGAGGAAAAGAAATCAGCCTAAGAAAAAAAGCGGTGCTGATTCCTCTCCAGTGTACTGATTTTTTTTTTTCTTCAAGAACTTATGTTCGTCTACATGTTAAGAGTCACATAAGAAGGAAAACACTACTCCATTTATTTATTAGAGAAAGGAAGGGAAAAGGTTCCTTGTCTCATGCGCAAGAACTAAAATAGTATGAACTCTGCAACCTTCAATCTGCCCGCAGCTTTAATCACGCCACTGCCAGGGTTCTGACGTCATCTTCAATCAATAAAATAACCTTGTTTCTCCTGGACAAACAGACTGTCCCCGAGGATATTTGATACGGGAAGAAAGGCTTTCCAATGGTTCTCTCTTTAAAAATACAATTTGAATCTATATATTCAACTCTGCTGTAACAACAGGGCAGCAAAGCCAAGCTAAATTCTTACTGTATCTGCAGTCATCGGCCTCTCCCAGTATACCTCGGTCAAACCCAGTTCTGGTTGAACCAAAACACATGAGTGAGAGCCCAGATGTTTCTCAAGCCACGTCCCAGAAAAAGCAACATTACAAGGTGGCCAGGGCAGACCGAATTCCTACCCTTCAAATAAATTTTGAAATACGCCTGTCAGATTTTCTTTCTAGCCCTTCTATCTCCTCTCCCTATTCTTCCCCCAACCCTCACTCCACCAACCAAGATGAAGAACCTAAGTCTAGGAAACCTGTTTCTCTGCTAAATCTCAGTCAACTTGTTCTGGACAGTTTTACTTTGAGCTAAATGGAAAGGAGCCAGTTCAAAGTTTCCCCTATGTCTATATATCTACGTGCATATATTTGTGCAGAAAACACACACACACACACACACACACACACACACACACACACACACACA